GTACGTTTTCCCAGTGTTATCCAGTCTTACTGAGTGGGTAGTGCTATGACAACAGTGACTGGTCTTCTTGTTGCGAGCCCCAGCCTACACCACAAAGGGGCGCAGGCGGCTCGCACAGGACACTGGAAGGGGCAGCATCCATGGCGCTTTGGTAGAGATCCCAATTCGTTGGTCACCGACGTGACTCGGAGTGACCAACTGAAAGGGAACATCTCGTTACGTATGTAACCCTCGTTCCCTGAAGGAGAAAACGGAGACGTCACGTCCCATCGTCACGGCTGCTGTACCACCGCTGAGTGGCCGGGTCACCTTTTTATGCTCACGCTGTGATCAGCGGCAGCTGGATGCAATCATTGAATGCCAATGTGAATTGGCTCGTTTAGTTTACACTCGAAGTGGATTGGTCTCTCTAAGTAAGATCCCAATTCGTCGGTCACCGACGTGACATCTCCGTTCCCTCCTTCAGGGAACGAGGGTTACATATGTATCCGAGACGTTATCACTTATTGGTGTGGACACTATTACATTCATCATTGTAGTTGTATGTAATTGTTATAGTTTTAGTTTATAATAGAGAGAGAACTGCTATATAGTAACTGGTGTTTGACAAATATATAGCGTGAGGTGCAAGCTTAGCGAGAATTTTTTGACAGTTACTAATGTTAGGACCATTATTCTCTCTCATGTTATGAAAAACGGCAGATAATTGGGGTATTATGTGTTGTAAAGTGAGAAGAAACTCCTTTTAAGTGCATAGGAGGGAAAGCAAGGAAAGAAACTGAAAATTTTTAACCGCATATCCAAGAAGATGAAAGCAGTGGAAATATCCCAGAATGCTGAGAGAATGCTCAGAATTAGCATTAAACCCATAAAGACGTAATACAAATTAGTAATTAGCAGAATTACTTCCTGCATTTGTTGTCATTAACAACAGTCCTATTTTATTGAACCAGCGTGGCTCAAAAAACAGAGATGTAACCTTATTTCTACATTTTCGGGAAACAGTCATGACTAACTAGTCATGAGTTAATTTCTCAAACAATGCATCATACTATATATAAAGCATACAATAAAGCAGACTTGACTTGACTACTACTTTGGTAAGCAGTCTTTGTATGGAAAATGCACCCCAGGTCGATTTATGGACCGTTTACGATCATGAAAGCTGGGTCTTGTTGAGATGATAGTCTGTCACATTGACGGGTAATCAGCCAATCACATTGACATTGCCCTCTCTCATGTTATGTGCCACTTCATATTGCAATTCCCTTCAACTTTCACGCCACTAATCATCTGTATCTGGGTTTGCAACAATATGCAAAAGAACAATATGATACATAGAAACATCAAAAGAACAATAAATACTGAGAAGGAAAAAGGAGCAGGAAGCAGAGTATTAGAAAGGAAAAGACAGAACTGTGTAGATGAGTGAGTTCTGCCTTTATGAAGCAGAGGATAACCGTCCGACTAAAGGTCAACCATGCATGAGAGAAATGTGATGGAGAGATAATGGAAAAGAAAGAAAGCAATACGGAGAGGCAAAGGAGTTACAGAGACATGGGGGTTTGGGGGGGGGGGATTGTTTCTTGACAAAGAACATCTCTGTCTATGATGGTGTCTGGTGTCCCTTGACCAATGATTCACTGTGTGTGTGTGTGTGCTTATGGACTGGCATATTATTCAGAGACTGCACAAGGAAAATGGAGCGGATGTGAATTGAAAAATTTAATTTCGGAGCAGTATACCTGCAAACACAATTTAAATCTCATAAGACACTTAAATATTGTTTTCAAGATAATTACTAGTGGTGTCTGTTAAGGTCAGTGATTTAAACAAGCAACAAATAAAACTTGAACAAATAAAAATCCCATATTTTTACACTGAAAAAGGGACCTGAAACTAGAAACCAATATATTATTGTAGCGTCTGGACCACTCAAACACACAATATATATTTTGTTAGCTAGATTTCACAAATACTTTGAGACTTAAAAATCACATTCATTTTTAACTGTAACTCATAAACAGACCAAAGACAGACCTACTGTGAGCTGTAAAGCTACTACTGTAACTAATGGTATTCGCTTTTGCTAAAGCCATCAGTCTGCATTATTTAATCGTATTTTTAAATCACCATGTTTAACAGTGCAGGTCCTGGTGAGAAACTGCATTACCCACAATTCAATACATTTGTCTTTCTATGGACTAAATAAGGTCTATGCTTCATATAGAGAGATATAATGTAATAATATAGATTGCTCTTTCCGTTTTGCAATTTTTTACAGCATAACTCATCAATGTCATTATCTTCATTTTTAAAGCAAACTTTTTGCCTAATTAAATTTGGTGACTAGATGTTGGGCTGTTGCGCTTTTCATCTGGTGTGCATTATATTTGAAGTAGGTGGTTTACCATTGGGTTTGGGTTTCCTGAACTAAAGGAAGTCAACATTAGATGTTTTGCTTCATTAATCAGATAAGAGACAAAATCGTTCCAAATTTAGCCTAACATACACTTCTGTGCCAGTAATACACGCAGTGCATTCACAGTAAAATTGGTTATCGCTATGTCAATCATTGCAATTACAACAGTGAGTCCCACTTTTACAGTATATACAGATTAACTAGCAGTGTGTGGCCACTGTTCCTCTTAGAAGCATGAAAAATAAAACTTTTAAATTATTAAAATTATGCATGAATTATGCAATATAGCCTAGAAAGCACACAAAGATCACTCCCTTTATAGCCACTAAAATCTGTCACTCAGTTCATAGCGGACTCACACAGTTTTCTTATATAAGCTCTCTATACTACACAATTAATCTACACTTTGTTATAATGAAAGGAGCGCTCAAAACTCCACACTGAACAATAAACTCCTGCGTTTTGAGCCATATTGAGTGGATTATGACTTAAATGTATCTGATTGGTCATGACATCAACAGAAATCAACAGATATGTCTGTGATTGGCTGCATTGCTTAACGATGCAAAAACATGTTGTAAAAAGAAACCTTTGATGCTCTCCAGATTGCAAACACAAATACACAGTGGAGTGTTTGCCAGATCTGTTTCATCACACCCACCGTTAAGTACACAGTCTTGTACCTTTGTCTTTTTGTCTGAATTTCAAATTTGTATAATTGTTATAATTTTTTTTATGCAATGTAATGTAATGTATGTATTGCTTCAAATAATAATGTAATATTGTGATTCACCTCATAGCTTGTTGGTTTGGTTCTTGGATTACAACTCTTTAACAAATAGCTTTTAAAGATTCCTATGAAAAACATGAATGGAAAAAAATACTTCTGCAATCAAGGTACACAGCAATGTCCTAAAACCATCTTTGACAACCTCCTAGAACAACCTACAGTATAAACACCAATCCCTGAACAACCACCCTGAACCCTGGCAACTGCATACTGTCTTAAGACATTAAAACTTTTTAAATATTAACATTAAGTTAAATATCATCGTAGCAACACCTTGCAAGCATCAACAACACTGTGGTAGTGACTTTTGCGTGGGTAACAACACCCATATTCATTCACATTCATTAAGCACGATTTCTTTGTAAATCGATTCTAAAAAATATTACATAAATTGTCACATTAATGCATCAATACCATTTCAGAAATTTCCTCTGCTTTTGTTTCATGAATGAGGTAAATTATTAAGCGTGCCACAAAACTAGCTCACATGCCCAAAATTCCCTCCAGAATGTTTCATGTACTTTGATCAATAAATCCATACTCAACATTCCCTGAAGCATAGCCCTTGCCCAAAACCAAACCCCCAATGACCCCCCCCCATCCCCCTACAGCCACAATATCTGATGATCTTCAATGTGTCTGTCCATCTGTCTATGGTATAACTTACACCACCCATTCACACACACACACACACACAGTAGCCCGGGGGGATGCCTGTCCTACTTGGGCCGAGCTTCTACCTCTCCAATCTAATCACAGTCTCCTGCACTAGCTGAGTGTCCATTAGGTTTGACTCAGGACAAAGCCTGTTTATTACGGCCCCCAATTGAATCAAAGATAATCAAATCAAAAGAATAATTTTTTTAGCTTGCCGGCGAACAGAGTTCACATGGCCAAGACAAAACAGTCTCAGTACTAATGTGCTTTTACTCAATTTTACAATGTTCACTGGAAAGTTTTTGTGTCTTTTATTTTGGGATTGTTTTAGAAACTAATGACTAGACCTAGATGGAATCTGGTAAAGTTTTCCACAGTTTTTCTACACTCTTTTAATAGATAACAGAAAATCAAATTATTCAGTAATCAAACTTTGTGGAAAATTTTTAAATTCTGTGGAAATTAGCTTTTTTGTAGATACAGAATCCATGTCAAGATCTGCTAATATTGTAATTAACTTGATCTTAAAGTAATAGTTGCCCAAATAAATCTGTCATCTTTTAGTCACCTTCATGTCATTCCAAACCTGCATGATTTTGTTTCTGTGTTGTTCTGTGGAATTTTGAAGAATGTTTTAACTGTTTGTGTCCATACAACGAAAGTCAATGGGGTCCAAACATTTTTTCACAGTGTCTTCTTTTGAGTATACATGTTTGGAACAATATGAGGATGAGTAAATAAAGAACTTAAACACACCCGACCTTATTCAAGCAGATAGAATTTGCGTGCAAACTGTTCATATTTATTTTTTTGAACTTCAACTATCAACTCAATACCACAATTTACATAAAAGTGGTTTTGTGAATGATTTGCACAAAAATATTATTGCAGCAGTTGCAATAAAAATATTTGTGTAAATAATTTATATAACTAGTTTTATTTAAACTGTAAAAAAAATAAGCAAAGTGTTCTTCTTGTTTTTCATGAATGGCTGTACCTCTTTTCATATTCTGTAATAACCGCATGATTTATGCAATTTTAAATTGCTTTAGAAATCTCTCATGCCAATTCCTTCTTTTTAGCAACTAACAGATTTTGTTTTTCTTTGTCTTTGCCCCTTTCCTCCAACAGATGTAGATCCTCCTAACAGCTCAATCGTTCCTTCTCCTCTTCCATATGCTACACCTTCTCCTCCTCCTTTTTCTTCTCCCTCTTATTCTTCTTCTCGTGCTTCATCAGATGTCTTGTATACAACCAAGTCTCCTCCTGACAGTCCTACGGAGAGCGTGACCACGGCTGACCCTGGGCTGAAGAGACTCCATGGGCTGAGTGACAACCTCATTCCCATCTACACCTCTATACTGGCTGCAGTTCTGTTGGGCCTGGTGGCCTTCATCATCTTTAAACGGTGAGGAGGACCAGATTCATTCTCTTCCTGAGCTGTTTTCATCTCCACTCACAAAGCATTGTACAGCTATGTAGGCTTTAGTTCAGCTATATTTATAAACTAACAAGCAAAAAAATAAATAAAATGCTTCGAGGCTGTTCTTCCATCTGATCCATCACGAGCACATTGTTTATTATGTGGAGTAAAACAGAGACACTGATCTCAGATCAGATTAAAAACATAACTTTCATTTCTGATTTAATGTAATGCATTCAAAGCCTTGAGCAAATCTGGCAATATAATGATCAAGACCGCATATGCAAATATGCAAAATAACAACTGAATGTTTTTACTGACTGATAACAATGTAGAAAAAAATTCAAATAAGGCAGCTAGTTTTCTGAGCAGACAGAGATGGAGGTTGTGGGGGGAAGGGCTCATAAAATATTAAAATCACAGCTGCAGGGCATAATTTTGACCCGCTTTTGTTTCTTTAGGGTGTGAATGTCCTGGTGCTTTCAAATCATTGCTTGTTTTTAGTGGTCCAACATCTCCATTTCTGGCAAAACCAATAGGGTGTGTTTGGGTGGGACAAGCTTGTCTGAACAATGGCAGGGGGAGGAAGAGTGGTGCAGAAACGTCACACTTCAATTTTAAGTTAGAAATAAATACTGATTTTCTAATTAAATGTTCTGATGCTTTCTTTAATATCTTTCAGGTGGAACAGTTGTAAGCAGAACAAGCAAGGAGCCAATAATAGAGCATGCAGCGCAAACCCCAGTCAGACCCCTTCTCCTGAGGGAGAGAAACTCCACAGTGACAGCGGCATCTCAGTGGACGGTCAGAGCTTACAGGAGGGCCAGGGGCCTCCACATACAGGTACAAACCCTTAAATCATATACTGTATATATATATGATAATTAATTATATAATAATATATATACAGTTGTGCCCATAAATTTACATGCCCCTTGCAGAATATGCAAAATGTTAATAATTTTAACAAAATAAGTGGGATCATGAAAATGTCATGTTATTGTTTATTTAATACTGTCCTGAATAAGCTATTTCACATAACAGATGTTTATATATTCTCCACAAGACAAAATAATAGCTGAATTTATAAAAATTACCCCGTTCAAAAGTTTACAATCTTAAGAATCTTAATACTGTGTCGTTTCCTGGATGATCCTTGACTGTCTTTCTGTTTTGTGATAGTTGTTCATGAGTCTCTCGTTGGTCCTGTCCAGTTCAACTGCCTGCTGTTCTTCAGAAAAATCCTCCAGTTCCTACACATTCTTTGGTTTTCCAGCATCTTTTGCATATTTGAACCCTTTCCAACAGTGACTGTATGATTTTGAGATCCATCTTTAGTTAAACTTTTTGAATTGGATGATCAGGGTAAATTGTGCTTATTTTGTCTTCTGGGAAACATTATTTGTATATTGAAACATAATATTTTAGCTTCTTAAGTGCAGTACTAAATGAAAAAATATGACCTTTAAACAAAATAAGAAAAATTTACACATCAGCATCCTGTTCAAAAGTTTACACCCTTTGGCTCTTAATTGTGTTGGCCTCTTGAGCATCAGTAAATGTTTCCACCTTTTGTATTAGCTGTGTACGAGTCCCTCAGTTGCCCTCAGTGTGAAAAGATGTATCTCAAAATCATACAGTCACTGTTGGAAAGGGATCAAATATGCAGAAGATGCTGGAAAACCAAAGAATGTGCAGGAACTGGAGGATTTTTCTGAAGAACAGCAGGCAGTTGAACAAGGAACTCATGAACAACTATCACAACACAGAAAAACAGTCATGGATCATCCAGGAAACAACACAGATTATAAAGATTAATTTTTGTACGGGGTAATTTTTTATGAACCCAGTTATTATTTTGTCTTGTGGAGTATATATAAACAACTGTTATGTGAAATTGCTTTTTCAGGAGAGCGCTAAATAAAAATAACATGCAATTTTCATGATCCGTCTTATTTAGTTAAAATTATGAACATATTTGTATATTCTGCAAGGGGTATGTAATCTTATGAGCACAACTGTATATGTTAGTCTTAGTGGACATGCTGTGTAAGCTGCTGCTGCTGTTACTGCTGCTGACCTTATTGCATATGCATTTGTAGGAGTTTCCCTTTCAGACACAAACTTTATGGGAGAGTATTTAAATAAATTATACAACATGATTTTACTGACGGTAGTAAATTTACTGATATTTGTGCCATAATTGAATGCCCAAAGAAATCATGTCTTAACCCATGTTGCACTTCACATGGTTGCGATAGTTGCTAAATTGCTCTGCTCTTGGTAGTTTGCATTGATCCTTATGGAAATGAGCCTGGTTTTTCTGTTCTTTAACTTGCTCATTGTCAGTAGATCCCCTGCAAAACTTCCCACTCCCATCGGCACCTTTATGAGATTTACAGCCTCACGCTAATTTTCCCTATTTAATAAACCTGGCCCCTAGACAGGTGGAGCTGGTGGTAGTAGAGGGTTTCAGAGGAACTCTGCGGGACCAGCTTGTAGCATATACTGAACCAGACTATTTAAATATTGAGTAAGCAAGCTCATTTACTGCAACAGTTTAATTCAGCAGTTGTATGATTATTTGTAATTTATATAAAAACAATATACATATATAAACAAAAAAAGAATTTTTAAGCTACAATCCAAGTTGTACAGTAAATTTTAGTTTGAACCTATTAGGCTGCCCATTCTAGAGTTTCATAAGAGAATTTTATATATATATTTAGCAAGGGGCCCCCAGGCCTCCAGGCTCCATGCATTTGTGTGGTTTGTGTGGTGGTTATGTCTACCTAATTCCTACCATTATGTCACTATTACCACTACTACAAACAAACAGGGTATGGGTATAAATATGGTTTGGGACATTTTGTAGTCTTACATTAGGTACATTAATCCAAATGGCTAAATGTAGTCTTTTTGTTTTAGTGGTCAAGATAGATGGAGGTTCGGCCCTTTCCTTGCCCTTACACACACGGGAGGAGGTTGAGAAACTGCTCAATCATACCTGTGAAGGGGAGGAGTCAGGAGCCAATGAGGAAACCGATTGGTGCAGCCTGGCAGGTCTACTGGGATACAAAGAAGAACACATTGCTAATTTCAAGCAGGAAGAAAGGCCCATCCAAGCCCTTCTGTCTCATTGGGCGAGCCAGGATTCGGCTAACATTGATACGCTTTGCACAGCACTGAAGAAGATCAATAGAGAGGATATCGCGCAGAGCATCACAGTAAAACCAACTGCTACATCTACCGTATGAGAAAACATGAGCTTGCAAACACACACATTCTCCCAAGCGCTCAAATACACACCTTACATTGCCTTCAGCATACTCCGATGTTGATGTATCACCTGTGAAGTTGATGTATCACTATATCCTTAACGTTAGGCTGTAAACTCAAGCGATGTTTCCCTTTACCCTTGATTATGGCCAAACTGTGTGCAAAGAATGCACAATTTAGTAAATATTGTTTGCATGTTCCTTTAATTTGAGGAAAGCCATATGGACTCGAACATGGATATTCATGTCTTTCCTGAAGAAATTCACCATAAATGACTCATCAAATCAAAATCATTCATTTTCTGTTTAACACATTTCATCATCACAACAATACAAACTACACACCACATCCATCTTTAGCATACCGATCATTATGCTTAAGTATAAGTTAAAAAAATGTTTTTTAGCATTCTTTAATCCATTTGTCTGTCTCTGTACGGAAACCTCTATGTAACATCCATAATGCATACCGTAATGCATATGCTAATGATATGTCAAATGTGGCCAGTTCAGTCATTGTCTATGCATTGAGTGTACCATAACCACTAACCATATCCACTGATTATATCCTGTCAGAGTTTGACCCCTGACCTCTCATGTACACAGTCGATGTTGTGCTCCTGTGCTTTAAATACAACCAGATACAGTATGAGAAGAGCCAGTCATAGACAAATGAATAAGAGAAGTCATAACACTCAATATGGAGACTGTAAAAATTGTGGAAATTTACAGTTTTTCTGTCATGTTAGCTAAAGAACCTAGATTTATGATGCCATTATTGTCAGATTTTTGCTTATTTGATTGTAAACTAAATCAGAGCCCTGATTTACTACTTGCTATTGCTAGTCTGTGCCAGGTGGTATTAGGGAGAGGAACATTTTCATCATAGAGAGCATTGGATTGGACCAAACATTGTGTAGCACGCAATATTTTCTGTAATTTAAAGGTAGTAAAAATATCTGGTAAATTTTTATTTGAATGTCAACTTAGAAGTATAATGGCAAATAGATGAACTAAAAGTATTAATGGGTCTTTAAAGCTACTCTATCATGAGTAATCAACTGCATTTATTGTTTCCAGGTCAGCAATAGAGAGGAATGTTTCAGTAAGAGTTCAACTGTCATGTAGACATTGTCAATATATATATATATATATATATAAAAATATATATATATATATATATTTTTTTTTATTATTATTTTTTTTTTTGCAGAGAGATACAATGGTGAAAAAAGAAACATTAGGGAAGGGTAAAAAAAATTAGGATAAACTTGAAAAGAATTTGTTACAGCCAAAATAATTTATGGTTTGGTTCAAACTTAAAATTTTGAATTCTTAATAATTAAAACTATTTCTTCCCAAATACAAAAACATTCAAACTAGTATTTATATCATACCATTCTTAATCAATTCATCTAATTTAAATCAATTCAAGCCAAAATGTTACTTAATGTGGGTCAAAATAATATATATTTTTGTCTTTTTACATCTTATCTACACTCTTAAAAATAAAGGTGCCATAGAATAACCTTTTTTTCTAAATGGTTCCATAAAGAACCTTTAACATCTGAAGAACCTTTCTGTTTCAAAAAAAGGTTCTTTGTGGCGAAAGAAGGTTCTTCAGATTACAAAAAAGTAAGAAAGAGATGGTTCTTTAAATAAATTTTGACTGAATGGTTCTTTGTGGAACCAAAAATGGTTCTTCTATGGCATCGCTTGAAGAACCTTTTGAAGCACCTTTATTTTTAAGAGTGTACATCTGTAATTAAAATGTAGTTTTGCAGTTTATTTGCCAATGGGTGGTTGATTATTGGCCCAAGTTAAAAGAGCCAAAACCAAAATCTCTCTGACATTGTAGTCTTGTGGCTTGTCCAAATTTTGAGAAAAATTAAAGAAAAATTGTAATCAATGTATAATTTTCGCCCAAGTTTGTTCAGACCCATAAACCTAGCATGAATATTAGCGATGGCAGAGACACCACTAATGTGTTCATTTAATGTTGTCTTTATCAGTGTTTGTTCTGTCTGCATCTGGGCAGGTGACTCAGAACATTCTAGATAGAATTAATAAGCAGGAGGTTTTGTTGTCCTGGTGGTCCGGCTGAAAGATGATAGCAGTTTCCTTTTTTTGTTTTTTTTACTTTTTTCTTTATTACAGCGGTAACGTGACACTGGTCACTACCTGGCTCAGGTCATCACCATGACAAAAGTGCTTGGCCATGCAGTCTGTGACCCAGATAGACAAATGTTAAAGACACAAGACACGTATCTATAAACACACACCAAAGAAACAAGCTTCCCCATAAAATTAACCGGTGACTGATATGAGCGTTTAGGGTGATTAAAAGCGACTCTTTTGAAGGCAAAATACAGGGTTCCCACGGTCATGGAAAACCTGGATATTTCAGGGAATTTTAAGGATGATTGGACGTTCATTGGTCAAAACGTGTGGGAACACTGAAGGACTTAGAATCTAGAAGAGCATCTCAAACAATTTCAATCTTTTGTGCTTATTGTAATGTTAGACTCTAAGATTCAGCAGCATGTTAATGGATATAGTACCAAAAACTGAAATGATCCGATTTAACAATTTGTGCAACTGATATATTTGGTTCAAATACTGACATTGGTGATACTGTTGTCTTTAGAAATCAATTCAAATTAAATATCCAGGGCTTTATAATGTCTCAGGGTTTGTGTGGAGATATGCCCATCTATCACTATTCCATATTATTTCTAAGTTGTCAGTATATCAGTGGCCTTATAATGGAGGTTGCAGGAAGCACTAGCTGATCTTCTGAACTTCAGCACAGACTTTTGGACTCATAAAGTTTTTTTTACAAGGATGGGAAATGGTCAGAAAAGGGAGAAATGTTTGATGTGCTTATGCAAACGATATAAAACAACATTAAAATTCTCTCGCTGCATGATTGTCAGTATTCATAGATTCTTGTGATGTTCATTCAGTTCGAAAAGCAATGCAGAAGCGCACATTATTAATATATTTGAATATTACAGTTAGCCTAAATACTGAAGAAAGACACTTTTAAACTCTATGGCCATACATTTTTCGGAAAAATGCAAACACACTGTAATTTGTATCTTAAAATGAAGGCATTCTCCATTTCTGGATGTGATTTTTTTTAAATCTTTTTTTTTAGTACAAGATTAGAGTGTAGCACTTACAAAGTATAATATACATTTTGTATAACAAATACCTTAGATAGATTAATATCAGGTCTGTGTTGTTGTTTTTTCTGTTCAATATATACATAATTTTCCTGTGTTTGTGATAACTGCTTTTATTTGATTTTTTTAATTATTGCTCTGGAGGTCAATATCAAACAATCCTGCATCCATAACCCCAACAAACTAAAAGAAAGTCACATGATTTGCCACTGTTCTTCAGCCTTTATACATTTTTGCAGTTTTTTTCATGTATGAAATCCTTTTGATTATTTGACAAATGTGCCATTTTGGTTTGAATTTATTTGTAGACTATTTTTGTAGTGTTACACACAATATCAGAGCACATATCTCTGAGACGGATATACTAACGTGGCACATTGCTCTCTGACAGTCACACTTGTGCAGTTATTGGACATGGAGTTGCTCAGAAACCCCAAATACCCAGAGACTGAATCTTGCACTTGGTAGATGAGCATTGTGAGATGAGTATGAGGAGCATGAGACAGTGAGCAGATGTTTTGTTGGGTTTATTTGGACACAGGTTCCGCAGGAAGAAACAATACTGAAAGTTACATGTATTTACTGTTCTGTACACTGTATCATATAAATGTGAATTTACTAGAATTCATAAAGTAGTTTTAATGCAGTTACTATTACAAATAAGAAATAAACTAAATATGATTGCAAATGGACATTTGTCTGATGTTTTCACACACACACACACACACACACACACACACACACACACACACACACACACACAAAAAATGATGGGTTTCCATGTTTTATGGGGACATTCCATAGACGCAATGGTTTTTGTACTTTACAAACTGTATTTTCTCTCCCTAAACCTACCGCTCACACAAAACTTTCTGCATTTTTCGATTTTCAGAAAACGTCATTCTGTATATTCTGTTTTCCTCATGGGGACCAAAAAATGTCCCCACAAGGACAAGGAATTTGGATATTGCCATCTTTGTGGGGACATTTTGTGAAGAAAAAAAAACATGCAAAAAAGGTTCCACTTCTTCTGTATGGCATATATCAACCTCAAAGGTATACATTTGTACATTATTGTGTATGGGATATTGGAAAGAAGAAGAACAAGAAGTAAAAGGACAACATTAGTTTTATGAATTGCATGCATTTTCATTTTGGACAAGGTACAGTTACATCAGATTTATAAATATTGCATGTTAGTTTCTACAGTCATAGCAAATGTATACAGGTCACACGTACTGCACTACATATCAAAATATAATGTTGCTAATAAAGTAGTTACTGTATTCACATAAACACATTTATAAAAAAAAATAGTCTAGTCTAATAGAAATGTGTAGAAGACAAGATGTAGGAAACAGCAGACAATGCATAATCCATTGAATGTACCAAAGCATTAGCAATTTGTTGAGAAATTGCTTTTATGATCTTCACAAGTGAGTCGATGATGTGGAGGTTGAACAACTAGTTTTGAGAATTTTGATCTGAGACATGTACCAAAGAAACGCTTGACTGAAATTGCAAATTTAAATACACATTTGCTTAAAATGTATTGTCTAAAATACGGATGAATCTCACTGCAGTGGTTTGATCATGCTGTAAGTTTATATATATATCAGATCACTGTGGGCTCATAGGGATTTATTTAGAAAATAAATCACTCAATTTAAGATGAAATCTGATGAATCATACTGATGTTTCAGGTCTCCTAACACTATTTGACCTGTAGTTCTTACATCTGCACAAATGGTATTAGGAAAAGTGTTGACACAACTGATGACTTATTAAGCAAACGGTCTTCGAAGCCAGCATTTCTCTGTGTAAATGTGTGTGCACATGTGTGTACCTGGTATTTCTTACGTTATGGGAAACTTTAGAAAAAATTGATATTATGGAAAAAATATACTTCAAAAGAATATGCTTAAGTGCGTACTGAATGCATTGTTTTTTAGACACTTAATTGCATGTTATTTTCAGTTGAATGCAAATGTATTATAGTTTAAATTTTCATTAAATCTGATTAAACTTAAGAATCTTCTGTGACCCACATAAGTACAAACTAAGTACATCTTAATCTTAATAGGCATGTATTTTTATTAGTGCTGTGCAACGATTAATCGTAATTAATCACATCCAAAATAAAAGTTTTTGTGTACATAATATATGTAGAGTATGTGTACTGTGTATATTTATTATGTATATATAAATACACACACATGCATGTATATATTTAAGAAAAATTGCTTGTTTAAATATATGATATAAATTATATGAATATAATTATATACATGTAAATATTTTCTAAATATATACTGAATGTGAGTGTCTTTATATACAGTATATGCATAATAAATATACACAGTACACACACATATATTATATACACAAAAACGTTTATTTTAGATGTGATTATTCATTGCCCAGCACTAATTTTTATAATTACTTATATTGTTTCTGAAATATGTTTAAACTGCCAATACTGACAAGTATTTATGGTGAACTAAAAAATACTTTAAACGTCATTCTGTATATTCTGTTTTCCTCATGGGGACCAAAAAATGTCCCCACAAGGACAAGGAATTTGGATATTGCCATCTTTGTGGGGACATTTTGTGAAGAAAAAAAAACATGCAAAAAAGGTTCCACTTCTTCTGTATGGCATATATCAACCTCAAAGGTATACATTTGTACATTATTGTGTATGGGATATTGGAAAGAAGAAGAACAAGAAGTAAAAGGACAACATTAGTTTTATGAATTGCATGCATTTTCATTTTGGACAAGGTACAGTTACATCAGATTTATAAATATTGCATGTTAGTTTCTACAGTCATAGCAAATGTATACAGGTCACACGTACTGCACTACATATCAAAATATAATGTTGCTAATAAAGTAGTTACTGTATTCACATAAACACATTTATAAAAAAAAA